AATTAAAAATAAAATCTGAATTATTTTCGATATACAAAAAAATTTTTTTTGAAAAAAAAAGTTGAACCAAAATTTTTTTTTCAAAATCAATTATTTTGTTAAGACAAGCAGAAAGTTCTTTGAATCATTTAAATCAGACGCTTAGTTCTCTCAAAAACTGCCATTTTTTACACATTTAACTCCGTATCTTCGAAATGACTGGCCCTGCCTTTGCCAAAAACTGATAAACTTCTCCCAACCATTACTAATTGAATGTTTTTTAGGTCATTCAAATCGGATGCTCCGTTCTCTCAAAAACTCAATTTCTTTTTTCTGCACTCTTTGCTCTTTATCTCCGTAACTGCTGGACCTGCCTTTGCCAAAAACTAATCAGCTCATCTCCCTATCAATAGGAATCGAATGTTTTTTGAACCATTCAAATCGGTTGATGCGTGCGCCCGAAAACGGTACTGGAAATTTGTATCCATACATACATACAAACACACACATCCATTTTTTTCTGAGGTATGCCAAAATGTTCAGAAACCTTCAAAACGTCGAGAAATGTAAAAATTATCGATTTTCGGCCCATTACAATAACTTACCCTACGGGAAGCTAAGTTCAAAATTTCCAAAATATTTGAAAATAAAGAAAACATTTTTTTTTCAAAGTCTTTTAATTTAAAATTTCTCAAAAATATAATTTTTGATACCGGAAGTTCTAGCAATTTGCCTTAAGGCACAATGCAATACACCACTAGTTCGTTTCGATTTTAATTTAAATTATTTATATACTTTAGAAACTGTTAATCGCATTTTTTACCTGGAACAGTAGCCAAACCGTATGTTGTAGATTGTCATCGGTCCAATGTTACTCTCGGCTATACATCTTTCTAAAGCACTACCTCCAAAGAACATGATGCTGAGGAAGCATTCATCACATTTGATCGGTAGAGATAACACGAAAAAAATCTCTGTATTTCATTATTATATGAGTTATTGCATATTTCGTTCCATTACCGTATTGCATTTCATAAAATATCTTATAAAAATTCCATGATCAGATGCGATAAATATTTTAAAAGCCGTTATCATCAAAATATATCTCAATAATGAAATATCACAACACAACTAAAATTATGGTAATAGATGACTTATTCCAATAATCTAGTGCAACTTAGAATAAAATATAAATGGATGAAGTTGTTAACATATATTGTAACTTTATAAGAACGAACCCTTCTGAATTTTAACTAGTGGGGTGCATGGCATCGTGCTTCAAGGCAAATTGCTGGAAGTTCCGGTACCGTTATTAAAAATCTTGGTACGGGACCCAAAAAAACGCAAAATGTGTACACATTATTAAAATTTCTATAAAATATCTGATAAATTGATGTACATATGTCCAATAAACATTTTTGATTGCAAAATGACAATTTTTAACTTAATTTTTATGAGAGTCCGTAACCGCTGGACCTGCCTTCTCAAAAATTTAACTGATTCTTCATCTTGTCAATACAAGTAAAATGTTTTTTGAATTATTAAAATCGGACGCACCGTTCTCTAAAAAACTAAGTTACCGTTTTGGCACTTTTTGCCCGTATCTTCGGAACGGCTAGACCTGCCTTTGTCAAAAACTAATCAGCACGTCTCCTTATCAATACGAATCGAAAGTTTTTTGAATTATTCAAATCGGTTGATCGGTGTTCCCGAAATCGTCGACAAAAATTTGTATCCGCACACACATACATACATCCATTTTATCTAAGGTATGTCAAGAGATATATAAAAATGTTCATTTTCGATTTTTTTGCGATTACTATAACTTACCCTACGGGAAGTTAATAATCACACGTAAATAAATAACAATATAAAAAAATACTAATATGATTTTATTAAACGTGTATTGTCACACAACCTTTATGAAAAGCTAATTATTCAGGATGGTGAGAAATTTATATCAGCAAAGTGAAGTTAAATGATTTACATCACAGATGATTAAAACACTATATAAGAGTAATTGAATTGAAAATGTTAAAAGAAAATTGTTTCATATTACTGAGAAAATTTTATGTTAGATTTTAACTTTGTCATATACCAGATAAAATATACACACTATATACCTAATGAAATATTTTTTAAAACGATAGATACAAATCTTAATGGACATGGATTGTCATAAATTCATATTATTAGTAAAAAATATACTTTATCTAATAAAAATCACGAACAGCAGGTTTGTGAACAAATCCCTTCGCATATTTTTTTAGAGTTGACAAGTTATGAATGAAATCTGTTCCCACACACGAGTATTATTTTTTCATAAATTGAAATATGGGAAACAAAAAGAATCACTATGAGATAAATCATTTATACGAGTAAGGTTACTGAAGATTATAAAAACCACAGTAGTAAGAAAGGTAAAAGGTGTTTGTCAAACAGAAACAGGATGTTTGAAGTTGCCGTTGAAGTGAACTTGCCTGTTAAGTTTAATAGGAACTGCATTAATAAAGGGTCATAGTAATTGGTATTAGTAATAGATTTATATATATATATATATATATATATATATATATCAGGGGCGTAACTACCACCGTATCAGGGGGCCCCCAACGAGCGTTAACAAAAATTGAGAAAAACTTTTTATTTATTTCACAAACGACGAAGTCAAAAAATTAATTTATTATTATTGTCGGGACAACCTACTTCGATTATTGGCATGTTTGGCCTACGGGGTTTCCCCGTTTAACCCTCAATAATCAATAATAAACCCTCAATAATAAACCCTCAATAAACAATGTACAGTTATGCGTATCCAAAATACAATGATATGTTGACAAGCGATGAACGAACAGCAGGGATTTCTTTAAATAAGTAATATTTTTTACAACTAACCCAAAATGGACAAGAAGTACAACATTTGGTACAAAAATGAAGACGTTAGAAAAAATACAATCATATGATAATTGCCAGAGTTAGTCGAAGGTTTTATATATTGAAAGACAGCGGGGGTTATTTACATATTTCAGTTGATTGTGAATTATTTTGTATTACAATACAAACCACTAGTGTTTTGATTTAGTGGTGATTTGTGGAAAAGTGTTAGTGGTTAGAAAAAAGATGAAGTCATAAAAAAAGTGCCAAAAATTTCTTAAATCGAAAAAATAACTACAACGCTGGTCAATGCTAAATCAAGATTCTTCCGAGGAATATTTAGTTACACTTAAAAGGGTATGCCCTACCAGTTGGTCTTCAAGGAACGACGCCTTATTAGCAATAAGCAAAATCTATTTATTAATAGTAAAAACTCTGTATAAATTAAATTTAATTTCTAAAAAAAAAGATGAACGTGAAGAATGTAAGAATTTAATTAACCTTTTAGAAACCTATGATTTTTTAGTGCTCGTAACATTTTTTTCTTTATTGTTTCAAATTATTAGTCCAATTTCAAAAGCTCTACAGGATGTGAGTAATGACTTACAACAAACTAGCATACTATTAGGAAATCTTTTAAAGAGTCTGCGCGAATTGAGGCATGAAAATTCATTCATTATTTTGTTAAGGAATACTAAGGATTTAGCAAAGAATTGGTATATAAAAACAATTTTTAAAAACAAGAGGCGGAAGATAACAAAGCGATTTTTCGATGAGTTATCACTAAACGAGAGAATTCTAGACCCTGAATCATATTTTAAAGTAAACGTGTACTATTAACTAATAACAAATAATAACAAAAACTAAACTAAAACAAGTAACTAATAACAAAACAAAGGTTTCAAAACCTTTGTGACGTAAATAGTATGTTCAGAATATTGCAACCAGAAAAACTCATGTCTTCTTCAAATGAAGAAATAATTGCTTTCGGAAAACTGACGACAAAATACTGCAAAGATCTATCAAGTAATCTTTGCGATCAATTGATAGGTCTAATAGCATGCTTAAAATTAGAAATCGAAAATATTCATTCCATTAAGAAACTCGCTGAATTATTATTAATAAAATTTAATAGTATTGCATCCAGTTTTTCGGATGTAATAACAGCTTGCATTTTATTCTTGACCCTTCCAGTTACAACCGCAACTGCTGAAAGGAGTTTTTCAAAATTAAAATTAATCAAAAATTATATCAGAACATCAATAAAACAGGAACGTCTATCAGACCTGTCTCTATTGTCCATAGAGGCAGAAACATTAGAAAAACTAAAAACATCATCAGCTATAAATGACTTAATAAATCAGTTTGCTGATAAAAAGGCAAGGAGAGTGAATATTTAATTTTAGTTACTTGTAAAATATTAAAAATAATATTCGATGTATATTTGAAAATTTGATAAATAAATGTTCTTTTAATTTTATTAAATGAATTTATTAATCTTTTTATGTTTCTTTAAATTATGAAAAATCTTTAGGGGGGCCCCCAAACCGATTTTGATATGGGGCCCCGCCAAGGCACGTTACGCCCCTGATATATATACATATGTATATATGTATACATATATATATATATATATATATATATATATTCACACAGATGATACCACTATGCATTTTTTTGAATTGCTAGTTACTTCATATTTTGGGGATACTAAATTTTGGGCATTTATTCGTTCTGAGACTGATCAAAATACATTTTTGATTTACATCGAGAATATATTTACTCAATCACTATAAGCAAATATTTCAATTATTTTAGCTAAATTTTATTAAGGATTGTAAAATTATAATTCCATTGATGACTAATTTTTTTAAATTAATGAGGTTGTAGTTTACTGCCAAATGTTGTTTAATCAATGAAGTAAAAATTTATAAATAAAACTAGTTATTAATTGAAATATATTTATTACTCATCAGTATGAAGCAAACAGTCATTTATTCATACAATTTTTCTAGCGAATGTACATTTTAATTATAGAATTTTATATATGTAATTAATTGCTAAACGTTATTTTCTCATTAATATTTAACTATCTACATTATATATGTTATGTCACTCATACGTTCCAACATATCGAATAATTTGTCATCGTGCTCCAGTATTTATTAATAATTATGTTTATTTCATAATTGTTTAATGTTTCTATTGAATTGAATTAGTTGTTTGCATCAAGTATAGCTTTCCTCCTACTTTTCTAGATGCATCTATAGTATTTGCTGGAAGTAAACAAATGAAATAAAGTGTTAGTTTGTTAAATTCTATGATGTCATATTGATTATTTAATTTAAATCATAACGTAATGACTTCTTACTTTAAACAGTGAGTTTGACATTTAACAATCTTATAAATTTACATAAAATACTTATAAATATAAATGTACAATCATTTAAAATCGCGTATCGTACTTACATTTATTTGATTCGAGTTCTGCGTTTCTCCTTTCTCTAACATAAGTTTCTGATTCCAAATTAGTTCTGTGCTCCATATATTCGGAAGTATGTTCAGAGAAATTTTCGGTTATGGGGTTGGTGTTACCAGTATATAAAAAGACTTTAAAATTGAAGTGCAATGTATAATGGATTTTTTCTAAAGCAGTGAATAGCATATCATTTGAACTGTTATTTCTTAATTTGTTCTCTTCAACCAAACTGCAATTTGAAGTTAGCTTAGGTATTGCAAATATTTTATCAAAGTAATAATTCTCCTTAGAGGCAAATAATTTTCGGTCAAATAACAATTTATTCATATTATGTAGATGCGTAATCGAATTTTTAATTTTATTGAAATTCATATCTAAGTTAATAGTTTGACAACTATCGGAATGATTTGTTTCATAAATAGTTTCAAACGGACCAAAATAATCTTTTAGATCGATTGATGAATTGCATGATAGTTTCAGATGTAATATATCTTTAAAAAGATCGCTAGTTTTTTCCTCATTTATAACAGTCTCATATCGACGCAATAATGCGTAATGCTTAATTTTTATGATATCCTTAAGAGTAAAAACTGTATTCAGAACACCAGTACAAACAGAATCAGAATAAATATCAGTCGTGCCATTATTGTAAGTTACTTTTGATATTACTTCAGCATTACTGACTTTATTGTGACCATATGAACTTGATTGCGATTGTGTTTTACCATTTTCATGTTTCAGATTATTAGTTGTGACAGATTGTGGTTTTGATATAACAAATTTATTGTTGTCAATTTTGGAATTAGAATCTAATTTTGAATTATAATTTTCAGAAGATTTTAGTGGTGGTTTACTAAGCGGAAGACCAGAATCTTTATTTTCAACAATCTTTAAATTTTCACCTAATGTACCTTTTTCATGTTTTAGATTATTATTTGTGACAGATTGTGTTTTTGATGTAACAAATTTATTATTGTCAATATTAGAATTAGAATCTAATATTGAATTATAATTTTCAGAAGATTTTAGTGGTGGTTTACTAAGCGGAAGACCAGAATCTTTATTTTCAGCAATCTTTGAAATATCACCTAATGTACCGCCATTCATAGGTTTAGTATCACTTGACAATGCAACACCAAGTTTTCCATCATTATTCATATTTTCACTGTCAGCAATTTTATTCAAGTTGTCAACAACAGCCATATTTCCATATTCATCAATAGCACCTCTAAAGTTCTCATTTTCGTGAGCATCAGCAATTAAATTCTTATTTTCTTCGAAAGAATCGATCTTGTTTTTACCATCATTATTATGATGATGCGATGGTGTTTTATCTTTTTCATGTTTCAGATCATTAGTTGTGACAGATTGTGTTTTTGATGTAACAAAATTATTATTGTCAATTTTAGAATTAGAATCTAATATTGAATTATAATTTTCAGAAGATTTTAGTGGTGGTTTACTATGCGAAAGACCAGAATCTTTATTTTCAGCAATCTTTAAATTATCACCTAATGCACCGCCATTCATAGTTTTAGTATCACTTGACAATGGAACATCAAGTTGCTCGTCATTATCAGCACCCATCGAATATCTATTTTTGTTAAAGTCATCAATTAAGTTTTCACATTCATCATCATCATCATACAAACTCTCATAATTATTAGTTGCATAAATCCAATTTCCATAATTATCCGTAGCGTCAATAACATATCCATTTATTTCAGAAGTTTCATTTTTGTCAGTGGTAACAATCGAATTTTCATTTTCTTCAGTATTACTTACGTAATCATGATCACTAAAAGTACTTATAAAGTTTCCATTTCCGTCAGTAGAACCAATTGAATATTCATTTGTATCAGCAGCACCAGTCATATTTTCAGTTTCATTGAAAACACTAGTAGTGCTATTCGAGTTTCCATTTTCGTCAGTAGTATTAATCATATTTCCATTTACGTCAGTAATACCAATTGAATTTCCATTTTCGGTAATAGTACTAATCAAGTTTCCATTTGGGCCAATAACACCAATCGAATTTCCATTTTCGTCAGTGGTATCATTTGCATAATCATTATGACTAGTACTCATAAAGTTTTCATATTTGTTAGTGGTACCAATCGAATTTCCATTTCCATAATTATTAATAGTTGCAAACAAGTAACTATTTTCATCATTTTCGCTAACTATATTATGAAGGTGATTAGTAGTATCAATCAAATTATAATCTTCGCCAGAAGCATCAAACAAGTTTTCACATTCATCATCATCGTCAATCAAGTTTTCATCATTATTAGTTGAAAAATTCCAGTTTCCATAATTATTTGCGTATCCATTTATGTCAGAAGTTCCATTTTTGTCGGGGGTAATCATTGAATTTTCATGTTTGCTAGCATTACTTACGTAATCATGCTGACTAATAGTACTCATCAAGTTTCCACTTTCCGCAGTAATAGTAATCGAATTTCCATTTTCGTTATTAGTATTACTGACAAAGTCTTGATGACTCGGAGTATTTATCAAGTTTTCAATTCTGTCAGTAATAGCAATTGAATTTTCATTAGCGTCAGTATCATTAAACAAATTTCCATTTTCGTCAGCAGTATTAATAAAGTTTTCATTTTCAGCACTAGCAATAGAATTTCCATTCTCGTCAGTCGTATCACTTACATAATCATGGTGACTAGTAACACTAATTAAGTTTCCATTGACGTCAGTGATACCAATAGAATTTCCATTTTCGTCAGTAGTATTAATCAAGTTTCCATTTTCGTTAGTAATAGCAATTGTATTTTCATTTGCTTCAGTAGTATCACTTGCGTAGTTTTGATGGATAGTAGCAGTAATTAGGTTACCGTTTACATCAGTAATACCAACAGAATTTCCATTTTCGTCAGTAGTAGTAATCAAGTTTTCATTTTTGTCTGTAGTAATAATCAAGTTTCCATTTTCAACAGTACCACCTATCACATTTCCATTCTCGTCAGTGGTACTAATAATGTTTCCATTTTCATCAGTAATGCCTATCACATTTCCATTTTCATCAGTAGTACTAATAATGTTTCCATTTTCATCAGTAATGCTAATCACATTTCCATTCTCATCAGTAGTACTGATAATGTTTCCATTTTCATCAGTATAGCTAATCACATTTCCATTCTCATCAGTAGTACTAATAATGTTTCCATTTTCATCAGTAATGCTAATCACATTTCCATTCTCATCAGTAGTACTAATAATGTTTCCATTTTCATCAGTAATGCTAATCACATTTCCATTCTCATCAGTAGTACTAATAATGTTTCCATTTTCATCAGTAATGCTAATCACATTTCCATTCTCATCAGTAGTACTAATAATTTTTCCATTTTCATCAATAATGCCTATCACATTTCCATTCTCATCAGTAGGACTAATAATGTTTCCATTTTCATCAGTATTGCTAATCACATTTCCATTCTCATCAGTAGTACTAATAATGTTTCCATTTTCATCAGTAATGCTAATCACATTTCCATTCTCATCAGTAATGCTAAGCACATTTCCATTCTCATCAGTAGTACTAATAATGTTTCCATTTTCATCAGTAATGCTAATCACATTTCCATTCTCATCAGTAGTTCTAATAATGTTTCCATTTTCATCAGTAATGCTAATCACATTTCCATTCTCCTCAGTAGTACTAATAATGTTTCCATTTTCATCAGTAATGCTAATCACATTTCCATTCTCATCAGTAGTACTAATAATGTTTCCATTTTCATCATAATGCTAATCACATTTCCATTCTCAT